CTCGGACCGTACCCCACCGACTGGACGTAAGTTTGCCCCCCTTGTGGTCACTAATCTCAGCCTGGAGCTTGCTGGTCTTTCCCAGTTCTGTGTTGTCTTTCTGTCCTTGGCGGACTCGTTGCTAATGTTACCCCGAATTTAGATGGGGATGTCCTCCCGGCTGGCTCTGCAAACCTCTACAGCAGAACTGCAACTTCGAGGCAGGAATCCCGGACCGAAACTTCTACTGCAGCCCGAACGAGTGCGTCCCGGCAAACGCGTTGCCGTCGCCGCTGCCGACATGGGACCTGGACATCTACGGGAACGTCACCCCGGCCACGGACCCGGCACTCCACATCAACGCCATCCAGGACTACTTCAACATGAACCCGACCGACTTTGGGCTGACGTACGAGATCTTTGTCGTCAACGAGGTCTTGACCCTCACCACGACGATCCTTCTGCCGCCAAGCCCCACCGTCGCGGCGCGACAGGCACAGACGAGCGTCCCGGGCGCTTGCTACCCCTGGTGCAACAACTGTCTGCTCGAGGCCCAGGCGAACGGGAAGACGTCGGCGCTCTGCGTCCCCGGCTCCGCGTTCGACGTTTCCCTGGTGCAGTGCGAGCAGTGCATCGACTACCACAAGTCGGACGACAGCGCCAGTTTCGTGCAGATCGCGCCCCAGTTCCAGCAGTTCCTCGACTACTGCGACCAGTTCTCGACCGTGGTCGTCTCGACCTCGGTCGTGGCCACCACGACAAACACCGCCGGGTCGAGCTTCAGCACGCTGACCGGGACGCTCTCGACGACCGTGGTGCCCACGAGTTCGCCACCGCCGCCGTCGCAGGCCACACAACCCACCTCGGTCGTGACGGTCGTGCCCTCCACCGCGACCTCGAGCCCGTCAACCTCGACGGCCGCCCCCACCACATCAGCTCCGGCGACATCGGCATCCCAGTCCTACACCACGACAGCCACGGTCCTGACCACGTCTTATTCGCACGTGACGGTGTCCGGCCCCGCGTGGTCGCAGGTGACCATCATCTTGCCCGTGAGCGACAACAGCACCACGACACTTTTCGGGACCGACCTGACGAGCGGTGGGGCCACTCTCGTCCTGCCCACCTCGCCAACGACGTCCACTTACACCACGACGCTGACGGTCGCGCCCGGCGAGTCGGTCTCGGCTGGCTCCGTGGTCGCCGCCTCAACCTCCTCGGGCGCGTCGGGCGCGTCGGGGACCACGACCGGATCCCCCTCGGCCTTCTCCGGCGCCGCGGCCGCATCGAGACTCTCGCCGCCGGACCTGCACCTCCGGTCGCCAGCGCTGGGACTGGTCGTCTGCCTGGCATTCACGTTCGTCCTGCTGTGAGACAGACGCCCAGGATTTGGGACCTTGGGCTCGATCGTTCGTTGCTCGAACCTCCAGTGCCACAAAGAAGCGAAAGTGGAACAGCTACCTCCTGAATCAATTTGGAAAGGTTCCTGTTCCTTTCTTCTGTCCCGATTCCAGGAAGAAATGACATCCATGCTCAACAGAACATGGATCAACTCTCCCCACCTTACTGTAGAACTCCCGCCCCTGCACTTTTCTCTCTCACAATGTGTCGCGAGCAACACTTTCACGGCAAAAAGAGGAAAGGGGGAGTGAGGAGTGTCGCACGGGAATTCTTTTGTACATGAATACGCTTTTACGAATGGAATGGCCCTCTTTTTGGTAGTAACCCGTTAATAATGATGATGATGATCACGTCGAATCATGAGGGCGAGGAAGAGGAACAGTTGGGTTAGAAAATAGGGAGATACCTAGGTATGTAGGTAGGTAGTAAAGGAGGAGGTGGTAGTAAATAGATACCAAGTATCAACTCAAGTACCAAGTTGCGAAGGGAGGGTAATAGTAGTCTTCTATATATGTCGTACGTACCGAACACGTATGTCGATCGAGTTGGGTTCATGGAAAGGTTCCTAAATTAGACATTAATGACCGGTTCCATCCCTCTATGCGAATGTGCTCTTGATGATCTCAATCGCCCTCTCAGTGGCTTCGAGCATGTGCCAATGTCCCACACTTTCGAGGACCGTCTGCTTCGCATTCGACCCGAGATTCTTGGTGGTCGTCTCACCAGCCGCGACGGTCGAGACCTTGTCTTCCTTGCCCGACACCACCGCAACTGGCATCTTGATGCGATCCCAAGGAGCAGGCGTGCTCTTGGCCAATGCCTCACAAGCGAGAGCGTACCCTTCAGGATCTTGTCTCGTCAACATCTCGCGAGCCAGGGCCACTTCGCCCTTCTTGGACTTGTACGACTCGGGAGCAAAAGCGTTGCCGACGACGGTATCAGCGATGCCCACGATACCATTCTCCCTAACAGCTTTGGCACGGCCTCCCAGTGCTTGCTGGCCTGCTTCGGGAGGTGGATTGACGGGGCCGAACAAGACCAGGCTTTTGACCTGTTCAGGGACTTTGGCAGCAAGGTGCAGAGCGATCAAGCCGCCTAACGAATGACCGACGACATTGACGTCCTTTAATTTCAACTCTTCCATCACAGCTGAGACGGAAGAGTCAGTCACCATTTTCTCGCCGTACAAAACGAAGTTTCCGACGTACCAAGACAATCTCCCACGTAAGAGTCGATGCTAGTAGTCGCTGGCGTAGAACTGCGGCCATGGCCAGACCAGTCAAAGCGTACAATGTTATAGTCTTGAAGCTCGGGGACAAGAGGCTGGAAAGCATTCGTTGTGCCACCTAAGCCGTGAATGAACAAGATCGAAGGACCGCTGGGGTTTCCCTCGGTCTCATAGAACAACTTGCTGTCGTTTGATGAGACATAACCGTGGGCGGACAGTTTGGATGCCATTGTGGAGGTGGTTCTTGGTCGATGAGAGTGAAGCAAGAAGTTTGTGATTGCATATGTCGACTGGCCTTCATGAATCAAACGGCTTTTGAATGCTTGGATGAGCCCATGGTCAACGGATGGATACTGTCCACATGCGGATAGATGCCGCACTTGGCCGCATTAAGTCACACTCACTCGCTCCACTGTGATGATCCATCCCTCGCTTCTCCGCGATTCTCCGCCGAGTTGGAACAGGTGTAGACCTCGATGAACGAGAACCACGGAGAAGGACTGAATAACGAATCCTTTCGGCTTCCTCTCCGTCAACAGGTCGTCTCAACCATTTTGGAGACCACTGACAAATTCCGACAACAATTCAAATATCGGAAACGGGTCGTTGAATGGAAACATTGCTTTTGCCAGGTGGACATCAATTATGCTCCCACACGTGTAGGTCGTCCGTATTGCCTTGCTGGCATGCTAAAAAGGGATGCCTAGCTACTCAACTGTATTATTCGAGTAAACAGGTAGTCGCGGGCGAAAAACCTATCAAGGAACGGCCTATAGAGATAGGTAGAGGGTAGCGATAGTAATAGGTAAGTATAGGTATTCCTTAATAGTATATCTTAACTAAAACTTAAAGTATAAGAGAAGGAGGCTTCCCTTAGGCGGTAAGTATATAGTACTTAAATAATAAGGGATTATTACGTATTATAAGTTATACTTAGCGGTTCGTAATACACATTCACCCTCCAGTTAGGTAACGAGTCTGATAGCTAGGTCAAGGAGAGGATAACGTCACTTCCTGAAGGCCAGTATATTTCAGAATTAAATTGCCATTTCTTTGCGGACCTCTGTTACTCGAGAACGAAAAACCTAATAATAGTCATATGCGGTTTAGTCCTAGAGGGTGAGCGAAGGCCGCCTTAACCTGGGCTTTCAACTGAGCCACTACCTGAGCATCACTAAGCGCTCTCCGAGCATTCCCCTACGTAGCTACGTAAGGCCTAATCAAGCCCCTGAGCAGTTGGCTCAACCTTCCCCTTACTTAGGCATCTGTTTCAGACAGGCGTTGGGAAGCCTGCCAGATTCCCTGCTCGCACCCTACTGCCTCAATTTTCTTGCGACCATGAGCCCAATAAATCTGCGCCGCCTAATCTTGGAGTTAGCCCTCATTCTCCTTAGTTTAATTCCATACCTCTTTTTTCCAAAGGACTAACTAGAATGATAGTTCGGAGTGCCCCCCGGACAGTTTGTGATCAATAGAGCGAAGAGCCCATTAAGTGCATCGCGAGAGAATTATTCTTCACGGCTGCCTTGTCACCAGGTAAGTAGCAACCAGTGCGGTACCTTTATCAGGCGCCACTTTTCCAGCACAACAACCACCCGTTCTTTGGCAGGTTGAACCGTAAACGATTGATCAGCGCGAGAAGTTGTCGTGGAGGCTTGAGCGAGGAGATTGGGCTCGGGATGCTGGACCTCGCCCACGCTGTATCTGCTTCTGCAGCTGTAGAAGCGCCACTCGGGCTTTGGAACGGTGCTGTGCGATACGGAGGATATGGTATGTACAGACTACGGAGTACCTGATCAGATTACGGAAGCTCGAAGTACAGAGAGACTTTGAAGACCTATCAAAGCGAGAATGGCGCCGTCCACGGAAGCGGTCGGCAGCTCGGTCGGGCTTCGCGGGGATCGCGAGCCGCCCGAGGCTGGCACGTGGTCTCCTATTGTTCCTGTCTTTCGTAGCTTTGGAACGCCTTCATGCTTGAAGATCCATGCTACCTGAGCCTCCGTACAGCTCGACGCTCCTTCATTATGCGCCCGATAGCTCCCATCCATGCCACTTATGCAGTCTCGCAACTCGCTCGGCCAATGCTTCGGCCATCTGCCTTCTCAATGGTCGTATTTTGGACGCCATGCCAGTCGGATGGTGAGCGTGGGAATGCCCCTGCTGCACGAACCGGATTAGATGGACCAATCTTACTGAAGTCTTTAGTTGGTCTGCATTCCTCGTCACCCCTGCATGGCTGTCGCTTGAGATGGCTTCGTTTTACCACCCCGCTTAACAGCAGCTCTACAAAATATCTTCTCCTTGGTCCCACGATTGTTGATTTACCATTTATTGCAACAGTGAACATGGACAACAATGAGGATGGACTTCCCTACACCTGAAAATATTCTCCATGCCTCCTAAACGATCTTCAAAGGCTCAATCTAGTTCCCGCAGAGCAAAGAACCTTGTAAGCCAGTCTGTGACTGCGCCACAGGCTTCAGAAAACGTGCCTGCGGCAGTCCGGCAGCCTCAGAAACTTGCCAGGAAGCAGAGAAAACCCGACGTAGGTCTGAGATCTCCAAGATATAGCAGCCCTCATAGCTTCTGCGAGATTCACATGCCATCGTCGCGCTGTCTGACCTCTGCGGCTGACGTTTCAGAATATCCAGAAGCCTGAGGTTCAAGGACCAGAGGTTCAGAGAACACAGAGACATACCCGAAGATCTCAAACTTTGCCGCTTTTGGAAAAAAGAGACGATATAGACACGGTTACATGGAAACGCAAACGACGTCCAGCGAAATCATCACTCGTCGCTGAATCTCCCAGTCCAGGAGAATCACTTGTCGCGGAACAACAAGCACACCAAACCACGAACGTGGTACCTTCTATCGACCAACAGAACTCTCCTATAGAATCAGCTTCTGCAGGACAACAAGAACAATTGGGTTTCGACTTGCTTTCAGCCGATCTTCAAACTGAAGAGACTCTCAGCCTCCGGAGTTCCACCGAATCTGAAACCACCACTTGGCTCAGAGATCCACCAGATGCCGAGACAGTTTTCTTGCAGCGCAACGGGTACACAACTGAGTTGAGTGACGACGCATTAGCAGCGATCCAAGTAGTCCTCGGCAAAGAGGCAGCAATAAAAATGGCAGGCATCAGATCTGACAGTCTAGAATTCAGGAAAACCTTGGGAGTAGACCGCAATGTTCTCTCCAATGAGACGAAATGGGACGATCCCGAATGGGCACATCTACAGTCATATCAGCCCACGTTAGACTCGGAAGACGATCCAATTACTGGTTTCTTGGATAGGCTCTGGTTGGCAGACCTTGGGTTTTGCAAAAATCAGCAGGAAGCAATATTTCAGCGGACGGTCATGATGGCAATGATCAACCGACATCGACTTATCTTTGCTGGTGACAAGATAGCAACAGCATCCCCTTTGATGTTCAGTGTCGAAGCCTCGTGGACTTGCCCTCCGATGCCCACACGAAAGTACTACAGACAAAATGAGGGAAACCCTTTTGCCAAAATGCCGAGGCCAGACCTTTGTGTCTCGTTTCGTAGGACCGAGATCCTGGACCCAGACTTTTGGACCACCCTCCTTCCGACCACGCAAGAACTCATTTGCTATGAGGGCATAAGAGACCTCAATAATGAGGCAGCCCGGGCCTTTGGGTTCTTCTTCGTTGAGGCCAAAAGATCCAGGCTTTGGCCGGACGACGAAACGGCTCTCAACCAGGCTCTCAACGATGCCAGTCAGGCACTCCATAACATTTATGAATTTTTCAGAGAAGCAGGGCAAACTACAGAGTTCTTTTTGCGCGTGCGAGTCTTTTCCGCTACTGCCTCCGAAAAAGGCGTCATAATACGCGCCCACTGGGCATGCGAGCTGACCGAGAACACTAATGTGTCGAAAGCACGGATCGATCCAAAGTATCCTCTTCAGTTCCGACATCAGATTTATCAAAGCTTTATGGGCGACGGCTTCGATCGCTTGAAGGTTGTGGAGGCATTTGAAAGGATCATGGTGGGATATGGACAAGAACAGTTGCTGCCTCTTCTCAAGACAGCTGCAAAAAGCGTGAGGGTAAAGGCGAGCGAAGCCTACGAGAACAGGGGCCGGAAACCATGGGAAAGCTTTTTCAACGATTACCGCTACGGCCAGTCCGGAAAACCCGGTAGCAGAATGACTAGCCGGCTGCCGACACCAGCGGGTGGAAGCAGCCCACGACATGATCCGACGCCCAAAGACACCATGTCTATGCGAGACACTTTCACGTTCAGTACGACTAGGAGGGAGTATCAACAAGACCCAGAAAGCACCTCGTTGAGCCAAGGCGTGGAAGCTTTGCAAACAACCAGCTTCTACTCGCAGCGCTCAACGAGCTCACGGAATCAAGATCGAGGTCCCATGGCCACCGAGTACGACAACACCCCAAGCAAGAAACGAAAGATAGGGACAACTAAGACGTGATGGCGGTTCATTTGACCCTATCCAGGGCGTTTGTTTTTATACGTCTGTGGAGGTGTGTGAGCTAAGCTGCAACTCAAGGAATTTATCTATCTGCCAGTCTCGGATTGTAGAGCTGCTGCACGAGCAATAGTATCAGCCTGTTCTCGTTCCGGTACGAGCGAGCGTCAGGAATGAAGATGAAGTAAGATCCTTTGGACCATGTATGACGCGAAATGCGTTTTAACTAGCCGCGGGGCTTTCTGACGCCAACTGAGGAGCCCGATGACCATTTCCGGCCGTCGATGATATGGGGATTAGAACTGCAGAATTCGCCATGTCAGAAGGGGACGAGGAACGGTAGGTTTTTCACGTGATACTACCTAGATCACTCGCGAACCAAAAACTTCATGGCCATTTACGGGATGATCCTAGAGGGTGAGCGAAGGCCGCTTCCAGCTGAGCTTTAGCAGAGTCTTCGGCTGAGTACATATCACCCGAGCGCTCAGGGAGCGACAGATGAGCCGAGGGTGAGCAAAGCGGCGAGCGGCTAATCAGAAAGGGAAGATTCAGGGTACCGAGTACATTCGAGGGAATCAATCACCCCGCGTGTCCCGCTTGCTTTCGACGTGTAACGAGGCTGAAGCCCCTAAACTCAACAAGGGGCATGACTAGATCAGTCACGTCAGCCTAAGCTTTGGGAGCAGCTCGGAGCTATTTCGACTCAGTAGCAGGAACCAGTATCGGGGGTTGTGAGGCTACATCTCCCAATTCCCTAGTTTGTTGACAAGTCCATATCACCACAGATCCGTGTAGCTAGCACACCGCTGTCTTCGTTCCGAGCATGGGAAGGGCCCATGCAAGACTAGCAAGCCAACGGCTCGAGAAAGAAGCAGCGTGCGCGAGAAACACGGAGATATGGACGCGCCCGCTTTAATTGTAGAAGGAAGAAGAAATAGTTAAATGGAGCCACGCTGAGCATGCGATAAGTGCGCCCGATCTCGAGAGACGTGGATACATCGCCACTCAGACCCATATGGACGCGCAGAGTGAATCTGCGTGACTATTCTCCTCAGCGAGCATGTGATATGGCAACAGGCGAGGAGTGTTGGTGTTGTGATGGTCCAAGAAGAGACACAAGAAGATGGTGGAGGCACGCCGCCAATCGTAGCGTCAGGAATTCGCTAAAGGAGCAAGCGCAGCACCCAACAACTACGGCGGACCAGACAAAGCAAAAAGCAGGTTTCCGCAACTGCATCTTCAATCAAATCTTCCATCTTCATTTGCATGAACACCCGAGCTCATTGCCTCACACCGACACCGTCCATTGTTACAGTACAACCCTTCAAGATGCTCGCCCAACTATCTGCCCGTCTCCGTCTGCTCCGGCCTATCCTTGCCGGTCTTCCTCTTTTCAGATCTTCCGCGTCCAACGTCACATCGAGAACATACTTCACTGCCCTCTCCCGAAGCTCGGAATCTCCTTTGCGAGTCTCACAATTCCAGCTGCCCCTAAGCACACAAATTCAGGTGCGGGGGATGAAGACGCGCTCGTCGGTGAAGAGGTTATGTGATGGCTGCAAGGTACGCTGTCCCCTGTTGAGCTCGAGACCAGTCGTGCACATTCGCACCCATTGGACCTCTTGTCTCCGGCACCCCGAGGTGGCTCTGTGAGCTCCGCTGACATTTCCCGCTACGTTTGACAGGCCGTCCGCCGCAAGAACCGCGTCTTCATCATCTGCGACAAGAACCCTAAGCACAAACAACGACAGGGCAAATGAATGTGTTCAGATACGCGTACAGTTCCTGTTGAGGAGTCGTCTAAGCGACACCATCGGGGGACGTGAGTCCCGGCAGACCAGCGAGCCTTTTTTTGTCCTTTTCGAGGTCGATCGGACCGAGCAGGCTCCCTTCGCATAAGATGGGCTGTGGCTGCTGCAGTGGGAAGAAAAAGAGGAGCTAATGGTCCATAGACATCAAAATCTACTACAATCCCCCCTCAAACGCAAGCCATGATGGAAATACTCTGTCCAAGCGCACTTTGACGCCAACAAGAGCAGGTTCTGTTCAGGCCGAGGAAATGCATGATCTGGAATGGCCGTCATCGTGTGGCTTCAGTGCACTGCCATGTCTACAAGAGAAGCATAAATCTCAACCAAGAGGGACAGCACTCGGAAGAACGTGTTCGAGCGGCAAGATAACAATTCTATGATGGTGCAAGGGCACCCATTCAATAGGCGGAAGTCGCCTTATATTAGGAAGAGCGCCGAAATTGACGGTGATATAGAAAAGGAATGAGCTTGTAATATATGCGGTCCGAGTATAGGTGAACAAAACCTCGCTACCTAGGTAGGCAGAACTAGATCATCGGCTTATCCGAGTGTTGTCGAAGCAAACTGTTGAGTTCTTCAACTGTCAAATCATGTTTACCCTACTTGTCGTTTGGAGCCGCCAGCACATTGTACTCAAGGTACGGTAGTAGGAGAAACGTCCGTAACATCGTGTATCATTGCCGCACGTCGCACTTCGCACTTCGCACTACAGCACCGATGAACGCTTGTTCTCGAAAACAGCATCTCTTCTAGCCTTTCTGCCCTCTTGCCTCGTGTATCCGCACCTCGCCCTCGCCCCCGCGCTGTCTGTCGCGCACCAGCCAGTCTACAGAAGCACAATGCCGATGCCGCCCCTCTTGCTCTCGTCGGGAATATTATTCGCGTCGATGCCGCCGTTGATGGGCTTGGTGCGCCAGTTGTACAGGTAGTGGTGCAGCTGGCCGTCGCCGGCGCCGAACTTCAACTGTTCCAGGAACAGGGGGTTGTCGTGCAGCGTGAGGGCGTTGAAGACGTCGAATTTCGCCTGACCACGCGTTAGTATTGAATGTACTGGGGGAAAGAGGGTGGGTTTGTGAAAGCAGAGAGCGTGAGGGAGCAACAAACGTACCTTCTTCCCCTCAATCAGCAGGTCCTGGCCCAGCTGCAACAGTCTCTCCTTCAACCCTTCTTCCTTGGGATTGAACGCCTGGTCGGTCGCGTAGTAGTAGAGATAGGCCGCTCGGATTTTGTCGTGCTTCTTGCTCATCTCGCCAATAACGCTGCTTTCCAGGCAGTAGAAGCTCCCAAAGTCGGTGATCTTGCCGTCCTTGCCTTCAACCACAAACGACCACACGACCTGATTCTCCGGCTTCTCTCGATTGAGGAACCAATGGACTATCTCGGCCCTCGAGAATACCTGGGCGAGCTCAAACCGTTCGAGGTACCGCGACAGCAAGTCGTGGACGGCGTCGACGTCTTTCTCCTCCATCTTCCGCCACCCTGGCGTGCTGGTGGTGGGGGGTAATTGGTTGCGGGCAATCATCTTCGCTTGTGTCATCTTGGGCGGCAGAGGCGAGAAGCCGACTTCGTACAGCTTCAACCAGTCGAGGCTTCTGTGGAAGTACCTGCAGCTCCCTACTGGTGTAGGCAAGACGACGCCGCCGGTGTAGATTGCCTGGTAAACGCCCTCCAAGTGACAGCGGCGCGTGACTTCTTTGATGAGCACCGGCGCCAGTCTTCTCGATCTCAGCTTCTTGTGGACACACATGAAGTTGATTTCCACCACATCGAGGACGTTTTGCCGTATGCGCAACTTGATCGGGATGCCAAAGATGGTCGCGACCAGAAGTCGGCTTGGACCCTTTGCTCGGACGCCCACGTGCCAACTCTTCTTCCAGCCAGGCGACTTCAGGGCCCAATCTAGAAAGACGGCGGAATAGTTGAAGCGAAACATGGCATGGTCGTCCTCGACGTAGTGTAACGAAAGAAGCTTGTAGACCTCTTTGATTTCCTCGTCGTTGGTCAAGTCGAGTTCCACCCACTCGTACCCTTCGGGCAGAGGTGCGGCTGTCTTGGGCACCAGTTCCGGGATAACCTCTTTGATCGGGCCATCTGGTTTATCCTCCTCTGCCTTTTCGTCGAAGCGCGGTACCGGTTGAGTCGCCCAGAATTTGTAAGACGCCATGTCCTTTTGATTTTTCCCCGTCAACGCAAGTCCACTCAGTAGTTGTGAGACGTCCATCTTCTTGAGCAGTTCGTTTGCTTTCTCTGGAGAAAGCCCCGCGAGCTCGCCTTTGAGGGCAGGGTTCATGTCAAGCAGATTCTCTAGCGAGTCGCCGGCCAGACTGGAGGCAGGTTTGGAGGGGTCTGTAGGTTCTTCGGGGGACTTTTTGCCGGTGATGGCAGAGACGAGTTTGGATTTCTTGGACCTCTTCTTTTTCTTCTTCGCCTTTCCAGAGGACTTTTCCGTTGCATCGTGAGTGCCTTCTGTGGCTCCGTCCTGGTGCTGTTCTTCCGCGTCGGACTCTGATTCCAGTTGCTCCTCGAGCGGAGCACCCACTGGGTGAGATTCGGCCATCGAAGCGGTGGTCAAGAGAGAATCGTGGGAGACGGGATCGAAGTATAGCACAGGTTATGGGGGTTGGCTGACAGGAGATAAAACAGCGACAATCTCAAAACTCTGAGATGTCACGACAAGTCACCAGAACTGCAGAAGTGCAAGGCACACGAACATCCTTTCGAACCCAACTCCGCAGGTCGCCAACTTTTGAGTTGCCCGATGCAGCTTGGCACTCAGCCTTGTAAGGTCGGCCGCAGCACCAGGTAATAATAACACAATGGAGGGGCAGCACATTACGCGAGGCCAGCTGGCACCTACAAGAGCAAGAGGGGTTCTTTAAGATGGGACTTGGTAGCACCCTAACCAGCAATGGACAGACTCGTACTCGTAGACTCTTGTTTCAGTTTTGGGCATTGGTGTCGTGTTCGAGAGCCAGTAAGGGTCCGCATGCATCGGGCATCAAACATTAGGTACATACCTACTCGTATGTAGGCGTCAGGTACCGGGAACTTGCTAACAAGAGTCCAGGCTGTTGATAGGCGAGCCACGCTGTTCTCCTCCAAGTGCGTGCTTTGGTTCACCGCCCAGCCGCCCCTCAAATCATCCCGCCTGCCCCGCCCAACAGCCTGGGTGCCTAGCCTTTCCCCAAGGCCTCTTCCCCAGATTCTTTCTTGGCCTTATCAAACGTTCTCATCTCGGGCCCGTTTCTCGAGTTTGCAAAAGGCTTACAAGATCCAACATCAACGTAGAGTCGTTCACTTCGATATTTCCCGCGCCCTCAGTTCATATCCATGGATTCAGACATGGCAGATGCCGCACCACAATATGCCCAGCCTACGCCATGCATTTCCGGCTCCGAGCACATCCTCGAGCCGCCCTCCTCCTTGACGACACCTCACCTTTCGATTTTTGGGTCGGGGTTCCGGATACGACGTCAGATTCTGACGGACCAGAAAGCCGCGGCCGACAGAGAATTCGACGACTGGTGTCGGCAGGAGGAAGCCGCGGGGCCCCGACCGTCCCAACCGGACCCTTACGACCCGTTCTTCATCCCAGACTCGATCCTGCTGTACGGGCCCGTCTCTCCACAGAGGAAGAGCAGACTCCTCCAGCTCCCGCAGGAGCTCCTCACCGACATCTTCAAGAGGGTCAAGATCCCTCACTTCCAGGTCTCGCTCGCCCTGACGTGCAAGACCATGGCGCGCGTGGCCGCCCAGCGGGGCATCTTCTCCCCCTGGCGCGGCTACCGCGACAAGGACGGCCTCTTCCGCCTCCTCGAGCGGAGGAACAACTTCATCCCCCCGCACCTGAAGCTGTGTCGCGCCTGTTTCCGCTTCTTGCCCTGGAGCGGCGGCGAGTACTGGGACAGGCAGATGTCGTCGGGCGTCTTTGACCGGTCCAACCTCAACTGGTACGACATCCTCATGTGGTTTTATAATCGCGTCGCCTTTCAGTATCGATGTCCCTGGTGTTGCGTATTCCAGTACACGAGCTACGCCAGTCAGGGGCTCTATGAACGGCGCAGGGTGAATGGGCCACTCGGCCTCCTCGACACCCGCGAACGCGTTTGTCCCGACTTGAACAGGCGGATGGATAAACCGTGACGTTCGAACTCACCTCTCACATTTAATCCACATTGTACGTGCGAAAACCGATATACAGTGCCACACAAAACGCTAGAGCAAAAAAAGAAAAGGGATACCGGCCCTTTTCTCCCCTGAAAAGCACGAGCCCAGCCATTTGCTCGAACTCGACACTCGTATATAGAGCTTGAATACAAGGTCGACCGCGGACCCACTGAACGCACCAAGACAACAAGACTCGGACGACGGCAGCGGAAACAGCAATAACCAGAAATACTCTCACCAACTTTCGCCCCGTTTGTTGCCGAAATGGTTTGAGTCCTTCTTCCGCACCGACCACGTAACCACGTCCAAAGTACACGCCGCAATACCACTTCCCAGCTTTCTAAAATCTATCAGAGACTCTGGGGCAAAACGAAGCGTTACACAGGACGAGAGAATGTGCCTCCCAAAGACATATTATGCCAGAGACTGGCTTTGATTTCTTGTAAAACCCATCAATTGAACTCTGAGAAGCAATGGTAGTGGGAAGACACTGTCACTGTCCCCCCTGCGTGCCCTGTCATCCCGTCACAGCTAAGGGGGAAAAAAAAAGCCAGGGCAAGGCCACACAGGCACATCTGGCGAACGAACCTCCAAGCATGTTAATCTTTTCAGAAATGATACATACCTACCTCATCGGGCTAGCTAGGAAAGGGCCCGGTGCGAGTGGATTTTACGAACGTGATGGGGAGGCATACAAGTACATACAAGACATTGTCGCACTCGACTGGAGGTTACACTTACAAACGCAGTGATGAGTAATGACCTTGGCGAGTATTCAACAGGAGGAAGGATTTTAAAAACCTGGTAGCTCGTTCTCATTCTAGGACGCTCCTCAGCGTTCGGAATGTTTCATCCATATTTTCATCTAGATCGTGGATCGCGTAAAACATACTGTGCAAAGCCAGTTATCCTTTTACGCACCCATCGACAGACACGGGATGGATGGATGGATGAAACTATGATGTATGTATGTGCTCAGCTCAAATGAGACGGATGCAGGACGTAGGCGGGCATATAAAAGCACCCTATTCCCCATCTTCACCTACTCTCTTCCTCGAGCCCTTCTTACTCGCCTTTGATCGTGGCCTCGTGACATCTTGTGATGTTCCCTTGGTCTTTGACTTGGATCTCGACTTCGAGGCCGCAGGGCGCTTCGTCGAGGCTTCATCACCCGCAAATTCTCCGTCATCGTCGATATCTCCGTCCATAACCAGGTTGGGCGAGGTGTCAGCAGTATTGTCATTCGTGCCAGGCTGGTGTTCGACTTCCTCGATACCTTGGATCTCGCCGAGTCCGTCAAGAACCTCAATCTCGTCCTCATTTTCGCTCTGTTCCTCGTCCTCATCCCCTCCGTCAGCCCGTCGTTTCCGCCGTTTCTCTGCCTCTCCCCTGAGCCTTTTATATGCATTTCTCATCCGTCCAGACTCTTTGCCGGTGCGATTTCTGGGCGCCATCGCTTCCGCTTGCGCTCGAGCCTGCCCAACACCCTCGCCGCCGACAGCAAGTGCCTTGCCATGTGTTCCTGGGTTTCCATTGATGCCCCGTCCGCCGACACCAACCGTTCCCGAGAAAAATCGGGTGATGTTGCTCTGCGTGCCCTCCACTTCTCGCCGATTCATATCCCGAATGACCGGGACTAGAACCTCATCGGTCCTCTCCTGCGACCACCCGATCGTCGCCATCAGGAAGCCTCGTAATTTGTCCAAATCCGGCACTCCCCATTGAAATGGTTCCGGGTTTGAGTCGACCTCCGGATTGAGGTATGCGTCATCCACCCTTAAGTCGGGGAATCCTGTTGGCAGAAACAGACGTTTCTGTACCGTCTTGCGGAATTTCCGTCGAAAAGGGGTAGTCAGTTGGTTTTCCAGATCCTGGGGTCTGCCAAGTTGGATCTTCTCACACCACGCCTTGAATTCTTCTAGATTCTCGAAATCGGTGAGAATCTCTAGCGCAGTCACAGGTCCAACGCCAGGAACACCCTCGGTGTAATCACTGCCTAATAGATGCGCGAACCTGATCAATCTCCGCCTGTCCAGCAAGAATTCCTTTTCAAGATCTGAGGAGAGATAGCACTCGACGTATTTCGCCGCGTTGAACATGTTCTTGTATATCCTGGTTCCTCCAAAGAGAAAGATATCTGAGTCGTCTGTGACAATTCCATCCACCAGGCCCAAGCGGACAAGTTCGGCACACTGCGCTTCAGCCTCCATTGGTGCGGTGATGTACGGCAGGCCAAACAATCTCAGCAGTGCTTGACATTCTTGGATCATAGTCTGCGTGACTTCGTCGGCATCTCGACGGTCGCGTTTCTGTTGGGACCGCAAGGCTTTGAGTTCAGCATCGAAATCGCGCATAGCTTGCTCAGTCGAGGGACCTTTGGCATGATTGAGGGCGGATGTGAACCGGGTGTGTTCTTCAGCCTCTTCGGCTAGCTGGCGCATCAACTCTTCCTCTGAGGCAGAGAGATAATCGAAGTCTTCTTCTTCGATTTGCGCCGCGTCTGGAATTTCCGTGATGCCCGATTCTGCAACGGGTTGTTCGCTCAGTCCTGAAAGCCGCACTGGGAAATCATTCGTCGACATTCGGCCTTGATTTGACGCAACTGCAGGCTCCATTTCGACATCCTCAAATTCCTCACCTTCGTCTTCATCTTGGGCGGCAGTTGCGGTGTCGTTTTGGCGCGGGGAAGGCTCCTCTTCGACAGTACCGAGCGATCCTGGACTCGCTGGTTGTACAGGCTGCTCATTGTCCGACTCACTCCATTCGACTTCCTCAAAATCACTTTCATTCGCCGCGACATGTTCAGTACCAGCCGGCTCAGGCAAATACTGAGGAACAGCAGACGGTTGAGGCGGTGATGCTTGTATGTCTTCAGCAATCTCGCCCATCGTCGGTGGTGGCTCTTCCTCGGGTTGGTTTTCGGCTGCAATTTGTCGTCCAAGCTCGTATCGCTTCTCGCGCTCTTCGTCTCTTCTCCGTCTTTCGAGATCTTCAACCTCTTGAACTACAGCAATTTCAGGTCCGCTGGGAGGGACAGGCTCATCGACAGGTTCCTCAGATGGTTGGGTCAACAGTGGAGCTTCCTCCTGAACAGTTTCCTCTTCAAGATCAATTGGCTGTTGACTTCTGCCTTTGTCATCTTCAGCCTCCAGGTCGATCACTTCATTGGTGTCGTGGCGTCGTATGGTGTCCCATAGATCCGCATTTTCCTCTCTGTGCAGATCATATGAATCTTCTGTAGGTGCAGTTTTCGATTTCATATCCTTGACATTTGGAGTGGCATTGAACCATTCCGGCAATGGCTGAGGAGGCCTCTCCTTACGAAATGCATCTTCTCCAAGATCTCGATCGAATCCACCTGATAGATCTTCCTCGATTTTCTTGGATTTCTTCTTCCCCAGCAGTGATTGTCCGAGGTTGAGGGACTCGAAGGGCAACGGGCCATCAAATTTTGGCGCGGCAGTGCTTGTGATCTTTGACGACGTCGGACTCCGGTCTCTGACATTCGTTTTGGGCTTGAGCTTAGTTCGCCTTGACTCTGCAAGGGCAGCTTGTAGGTCGAATCCATCCTCCTCTGCAGACTCCTCGGCGGGTACTTCTGGTGCTCCTTCAGCCAGCCATCCTCCGCCTCCTCGGTCGTCATCAGTTGGCTCCTCCAAGGACATGGCTATGGCGCGTTGTAGATCCTCGTCATGCTCATCCGGCTCAGGATATAGGGGCAAAACATCCTCAAATAAATCGTCCTCGTCCTCGGGCCCTGTTTTGTCCTCTGGGACAAATAACGACTCCTCGGCCGTTTCCATGGGTATGTCCCGAACGGGAGGATGGGAAGGCCGTGTAGTCTTCGGAGCAGCTTGGGTAGCGGTTGAAGCGGCCTTCCTTGCTTCATATACTGCTTTCCTCTTTCTCGCGATCTCTTCTGCCACCTCCTCATACGACATGTCATAATCAACGCCAGCTTTCCTCTTCCGAGCCCATGTTTTTGGGAGCCGGTTCAGGCCTTCAATCGCGACATCTTCGAACTCATCCTGATCCGAGTCTGCAGAGAAAGCGACTTCAGACTTTCCCTCATCTTCCAGATCGATTGCATTCTCCTTCTCGGTACCCTGTCTGTTCGACACTACACCCAGCGCCCATCCGCCCTCCACCCCTTCATTCTTCACCAGAATATATTCTTTCCCCTTCTCACCAGCGATCCTGCCACCGCCCTCTCTCAGAAAGTCTCCTTCCACCATACCGTTCAAGTGCATGAGCCGTTGCGTCAACTCGTTTCTCTCCTTGACTCTCTCGATCTGAAACTTCGAGAAAGCCATGCGGTCGGGAAACATGCCGTCGAGCTGCTCTTTGGAGTAGCCCATCCTCAGCCTCGATCTCAACCTCGCGGCATTCAGGATGTTGTACCTATCTCCTGCTGGGAGGGAGAGGAAGAAAGGGCTTTCAAAATCAATCTTGCTGAAATCGTAGAGGTTGATATCCTCGCCCGAATGAAATTGTCGCGCGTACTCTTCCAATTCGGCCTGAGACATGATCCGCGGGTCGTTTGGCGCACCCATCTCTTCAAGGCTCACATCCAAGTCGGGCAAATGGTACTGGTCTTTCTTCCTGAATTTTTCGCCTCGACCAGCCGAGCGTTCTTGCTTCGTCATGCCCAGCTCTTCAACGTACACCAAGTCTTGGTCCGCCGGTAACTCCTCTTCGGGTGTTTTCTCTCGGTCCGCTCTCCGCCTCTTTTCCTCTTCCTCGGCCGCCCGAGCAACCTGCACGGCGAGCAACTTTCCCGCCGTCCTCGCCGCATCCTCTCGTCTACCCTCCCGTCTTCTCTTTCTCTTCCGGATGGTCTCTCGCTTCAGTACCGGTGCCCCGCCATCAAACACAAACACGGGCTTGATGCCAAAGTAGAGCAGTTTGCATATGCGGCGGAAGAAGCCGACGACGTGGCTGTTGCGTAGGGCATTGCCCTCCTTGTCCCGCACCGCTTTGAGGAATTGGTAGATCCAGATGGAGGCATCGACGGCCAGGCGTTTCCGATTCAGCGAGGCGAGTTGGGTTGGACGGGCGGTGGGGGCAACCACGGTCCACAGCCCAGTAACACCCATGATTTAACGCTCGAGGTCAATGAGGAAAGGGTGATAAAACCGTGCGCCCGTGACTCCGCTCTTGACGCTCTGCCGTCCGGAGTCTGGAGAAGGACTCTATTGCCACCATTGCTGCAGCGCCGCGGCAGCACATATGATGGAAAGTGGGAAATGCTGCTGAAAAACGATGATGTATTCTGCGGTTTGGTGCCTGAGTCACGCGATAATGACGCGAACTCACATGCCCAGCCCCTCACCGAGTTCTACGGGTCAAGGCAAAATGAACTAGCACCGGATTACAAGATAGCCTTGATAATGAGAGGATTGTGTAGTGACTCCTTGATCACAATCATGTTGTACTAAATTCTGCCGCCCGTCAAGGCCCATTCTACCGAATTCCCACCTTTTGCAACGAAAGGGGCGCCTCCCAGCGGCATGTACTTGACGCCGTGCTAGACCATAAAGGGGCATCACAATCAGCCCCATAGAATAATGATCATGTAAAATCCCAACACAAAAGAAAATAGAGTAATCGAGACAAGGCGACTTAGTTGCCTTCTTCCTTGGCATTCTCAGTCGAGCCTGACGGACCAACAAGAGTGGGAGCAATCCTTCTCCTCTTCGACTTGGTTTCCTCCTTTTCGCTTTCGCTTGTTGCGCCGTCCCTCTTGCCCAAAACAGAGCCACTAATAGAGCTTGTTGCAGAATGTTGACCACCATGAACACTTGCAGGAGTCTGAGGCGGCGTTGTCATCGGTGGAATAGCTATCGGAGGACCGGAATTGGAGGCGGTCACCAGGGGCACATGTCCCAAGGTAGGGGTGGCATTATTTGGGAGACCCGAAGTTTGGACCGACGTCATTGTAGCTATTGATGACTGCGAATTGGATCTCGTCGGACTTCCAGGACGGAGTACAAATGGGGCTGGTGAAGGATGTGATGGTGGTACAGGAACAGGAGATGCTTTTGTCAGCGAAGGTGAAGCTGCAGCGGTAGGTGTTGGAACAGGTGTTGAATTTGAAGAAGACGTTGGTAAAGGTATCGAGGTTGTAACAACCGGATGGCTATATGTTGGATGGGGCCCGGTGTAGACCTGGCCCAATTCACCCGGTGCGAACGCCAAAGTAGAGCAAAAGCCATCCGTAGAGGACATCAGTAGTGTAAGACCGTCATTTGACCTGCGTCACCTTGTCAGTAATATTCTTGCCTCCAGAGCATTTCAAGACGTACCAGGTCAAATCTGAGAAAGTGGCGTAGTGAAGATTGCTCACGACACAGATAGGGGTGGTTTGTTGGGTGTCGTAAACAAACACTGCGTCTTGCGTTGCCACGGCGTAGATCATTCGATACGGCAGGGAGAAGGCCGGAGTGGGTGCAGGGCTGGCAGGCTCACCATCGATCGATGGTTTCGGTGAAGGGGCAGACATCGAATCAGGACCAGGAGTAGAAGCCGACAAAGGTGGAGGCTCCATGATCGTTGATGAGCTCTGTGGAACTATAGGATCTGGCAGGAGAGGTATCTCTTCGCTCGCCGACGAGGTGTCGATTGTGATGTGGTTTGTGGGTTTCGGGGTGGAGCGCAAGCTATACAGGATAGGAGAGCATTTGACCGCCACGGACGGCTTCTTGTGCCCAGGAAGGTGGGCTACTGGAGGCTTGTTGAAGCCAGCTCTTGTATAGATGTAGACGGTATTTGTCACATCATCCGTGGTCTTCATTGGATCAGACGCCATTGGAAAGCTGGTCTTATAGTGTCCAGCAGGTGTAAACAAGAGGCTGCCGTCTGGTGAGAACGTAAGACGACGGAAGAAAGAGGTCATGGTTTCGTTGTGGTAGATATTCGTGTTCTTTACTGCTAGACCCATGGCTGCACTGAGACTCGGAGACGAAATCTCTGGTCTAACGGCTGGGAGCGGTAGCGAAGGTGCCGGTGAAGCAGATCGTCGGAACGAGGGCGACGAGCCGAAAGATGACCGCCGGCTTGATGTTAGGAGAGGAGGATCCATAGGTAGAGGAGTTGTCAGAGGCGTTCCAGGGTTGGAGGGCGCAGGAGACGCAATGGCAAGGTTGTTGGCACTGGAGTTCGAGGCACGGTGCGTCAACTCTGCTGGTGCCGGACTGTTGGACGATATCCGTCGACCGGGGAGATCCATCTTGTTGAACTTGCCGTGGGTGGATAGTGTGGGCGTGCCATCTTTGAGCTTGAGAGCATAGATGTGGACCGATCGGTCTGATGACTGAGTCGCAACGAACTCGTTGAGGGGATCCCAAGCCACGCCTTGCACGAAATGACTGTGTTCTGCGATTTGGCGGATCATGGTTCCTTGGGCAAAGTCAGCAGCGTCATGCTGTGAGAGACATCAACTTCCACACATACCGGTATGCGCATTGAAAATCCTCGCCGTGTTGTCGACCCCACCGGTAATGAAATATTGGCCGTCTGGCGACCATGCCAGGTCATAAATTTCCGCTCCGGTGGAAGTCCTGCACATGTGTTTAATCCTCCATGTTTCCTTGTCATCGGCATGTTCATCGGTCAAGGTGGCCATGGAAGATTCGGAGGGCACCCAAAGAAGGACGTTGCCGTCATCGCCGGCTGAAGCCAGCATTTCACCTGCCTTCCGTCAGCAAACAGCGTTCAAGCCAGCTTCAGAGTACATACCCTTGGGACAGAACCGGACGACATTGACGGGTTGAGTATGCCTGGTGAGAGTTGACAGGTAGGTTACTTTTCTCTCCTCGCCTTGAGCTTCAATGCTCCATAACTATTTTCTTCCGTATCAGCAGATTGTACCGAAGAGAGGAGCGAACAGAGAGGATTTTGTACCCGGACATTGTTATCACTATTCTAGTCAGCAAAATTGTAGGATACGTCGTAACGGGAGAACTCACTTTCCAGCCGTAGCTAGCCTCCCTTTACCATGAGGATCGAAATGGACCGAATAGATCGGCTGGCTCTCATGGTGCCACTGAATGAGAAGCGGTCCGGCTTTCATGACGGCATTGGAGAGCGGCCTCGAAGGCCACTTGACGGAAGTTCAAAATGGCTGGTTGAAGTTGTGGATGAACTGAGCCGTGGAATATGTAGCCGATTCTTGTTGGCGCTCGTGTACAGGTAAGATGCGGTGGGTAAACGGCAGGCGGCAGAGGAGCTTTCGTTTGCGTTCTTTGAGGCGGAGATCAACAACCGGACCCCAGCAGAGAGTGCTTGCTGAGTCAAATCGTGTAATGAAGTGGACGAGAGAATACTTTTCTCATTCTCTGAGTATCGGGATAGAGGTTGAAACAAGGGCTATTGGTCGTCTGAGTAGCAACGGGCGCAGTTCAACCATTACTAGTCGAGAGACAAAGAGATGGGCCGCATGCCTCGTCGTGGAGGGTTGCCAATGTGCTCCGCAGCCAGATTGGAATTGGGCGGCTTCAAAGGTGGAGAAGAGGTCCAGCCCTGATCTTCCAACACTACGTGTACCTCGAATTGTTGCTTCACAGCTGCTATAGGCTCGCATTCAGCTACCTCTTGTTATCTTGCTGCGGCCTACTCCCTCCCACACGAAAAAAATCCTGGACCTTGAAAGTTTGACGCGCCCGTGTCTCCCTCATCACCCACGTCTGGATGCCTGGCGCGTCTGACCACATCAACCTGGCCAGTCACTCATTCAACCCTGGGGCCAAACTCGAAGTGAGCGCCATCCTTTTTTCAACGTGAAACATTTCAATTCTGGTGGGATTGGTGAAATTCTATTGCATCCCCCCAATAGCATTAGGTCATCACTCGACATAGACTTCTTTGCTCCTAGAGCTCCAAATACCAGCTGCCTGACCTTCTCGGGGGCCATGCCCTCCGGATTGCAGTAGTACATTCCCAGCAAGACCACCAAATCTCTGCTCCTTTCCTTCGACTCGACTGATATCGACCGAATTCCAAATTGTTGTACGAAAACCGATGCGCTTTTCCGAAGACGTAGCTTCCTGAAGCTGCCTGTGTCTCTTTGTGTGTTGGAATAACCCTGTTGCGCCAACCGACGCCGATTAAACTAGAATCAGTCGAGACGGCACGAGGCCATGACGGCAAGGCCTCCCAGACCTTGCGGCCAACCAAGATCCGAGTCATAGACTTGGTACATTGCCCACTGTCTGTACAAGAACGAGTGACAAGACCGACGTTGCCGGAAATACAGGTCATGAGAAACGCAGGAATGACTGAAGATGTTTTCTTTATTTCGATGTCGTGATCCCTTAAAAGCTCTGAGCCGACACTTGTGCTGGCTGAAACAATTATTAGCTTCCGCTATAAGGGGTGAATAAAAGCCGGAAACACGCACCGGACTGTTGAGCATATTCTGGCGGGCATTTCTACCCTTCTTAATATGACTCTTAAGCGCACTCGAATCCAGCGGCTTCAGCAATTCGAAGCTGCAAAGCAAATTGCTGGACACCGACATCACAGCACCCCAGTTGTCGAACTCACCACAGTACTGGGAAAGAGTTAGCGATAGTCTCTGCATAGGAACGCTGCACTTACATTCGGCGCAGAGAAGACCGTGACGAGCAAGCGGTCATTGAAAAATTCATAACCATCTTCGACAACCATGTGAGCTCGGCAGACCAGGTCGAAGTCGTGGCGTGCCAGGAAGTCGACGATGACCTTTTTGCCAAAGCAATAACTGACGCCCCGTTCGTTTGACTCCCAATCCTGATCCATGTCCGCTGGGTCACTCCACAACAGATCATTCAGCAGCCCATAATCAGGAACGTCTGTCGGTCGTGCAATCTGCCGGATATCATCCATATGAGACAGAGACGGGGACAGGCCGCCATGGACGCAGAAGATCTTGTCGGCCACAATCGCAGCAATGGGCAGACAGTTGAAGGTGTCAATGAATGTTTTCCAGATCTTGATGTTGCACCTTCGCTTGCATTCGTCGTAAAAACCATAAACTCGAGTGACGTTAGCACACTCGTGGTTACCTCGAAGGATGAAAAAGTTCTCTGGGTATTTCAACTTGTAGCAAAACAAGAGTAGAATTGTCTCAAGAGACTGTTTTCCCCGGTCGACATAGTCGCCCAGGAAAAGATAGTTTGCGTTTGGGGGGAATCCGCACATTTCGAAAAGTCGGATCAGGTCATTGTACTGGCCGTGAATATCCCCCACAATTTTGACCGGTGCCGTGAGCTCCAGCAGTGCTGGCTGAGAGAGGAGCACCTCCCGTACGGCGGTGCAGATTGCCGTAATCTCGGCGTTCTTAAGGCAGACAGCTTTCGTTACCTTGGTGGTGTAACCAGCATCCAGGAGACGAGAGATCATGTCGTCCAAATCCATGTCATTCACTTCGCTCATGCCCATACCACCTCCTGGAGAAGCACCTGGCAACTCTGCCAGTTTGGCCCGCAGTGAGGCCTTGGTCTCTGGGGCTCGCGGGTTGATCTGGTTCTCCCGCTTGACCAAGATCGAATCCCCCGCCTTTTGCGTAGATGAATGGACATGAGCCTGATGAGGAGCTTCCTCAGAGACTGCGCCTACCTCTCCGGTCCTCTGAGCACGATCCACCGACTTGTGACCTTTGCCTACAGACTTGGACTGGGTTGGTGACGGTGGTCTTGCAGGAGTGTTGGCACCTGGTGATGGAGCATCATCGTCGTCGTTGGGCGACGTAGGAGACTCTACCAGAGGGTTGGTCGTGATCTTCTCTCTCGGGGCTCGAGAAGAGCCCGAACGGCCACTGGCAATAGAACTGGCGTCAGCCTTGTCGTTGTTTGGGACTTCCGACCCCGCAAGGGTGGAGCCCGACGCCCTGGGGCTGTCGTTGGTCTTGTCATCTCCCGAGCTCTTTATTTTGCTTCGAATGGACGATCGGATGGATCGCGAGGAACTCTCCCTCGTGTCGGATTTGGATATGGAGGGATACTGCTGTAATGTATCCGGCAGATTAGAGGACGAGCCGCTCTTCAGTGGAGTTCTAGTTCCATCGCTGCTCTTTGACTGTTGTTGGCCCATTGAATTCTCGGCCTGGCAAAGATATGGCTGATCGCGGGAGAAGAGGTCGGGGTTTGAGAAACGAGCGGGTCAAGGAGGTTTGAGGAGTGAGATAAGCAGCCGCTTTGAGGAATGCGTTTTGGCGACTTTACTCAAGGGCACTGTGAAAGGAGCACACTGGAAGTATGCTCAAACAAAATCCACCTTCAAGTTCTGGGGCGCGATGTCGCTCAGTCGGCCGGCTTCCTGCGATGGAACTAGAGGGATAAGTGACAAACAGCGACTGTTCATGGAGGTGTGCTTTGTGGACTGGGTTTCCTTGGTCTCGCCTGCATGAAAGAGGTCATAACAGGTCAGCAAAGTCATCCAGCAACGAGTCAGAGGTCGAGCAAGCTAAACAAGAGGGATTTCTTTTGTAAGGATAGAAATGTCGCATGAGGCGTGGATGGTGAAACACGTTGCGTCACCGTGCGGAAGGGCTGGGATGGGAACTGACCTGCTGAAGAGATGGCGATTGGAGACGACCGAAGACAACAGAATCAAAGCACGTAGCACCTAGATTGTAGAGCCTAAGAGATGGTGGAGGTGGGAAGCTGAGGACAACGATCTGAGGGTTGATAAATAAATTGGGTGTTAGAATTCGTGGAGGGAGCAACATGAAGGCCCGAAAGTGCAGGCAGGGCACCGCAGGCCATTCGTACACGGTCTAGTTTCGCGGCGCCAGGCAGTTGCCTGCTCTGGTTGGCCACCTGTTCGGCCATATCGGCTTCGGGGCCCAGAACATTCGAACTCTTTAAGCCCACCAGCCTTAGTGATCACTACCTAAACCCCTAACTCCTAGTCACCACGCCCCAATTTGGCTCGTAGGGGAGCCCAGATGAGGTCACTTTGCGTACTATGATTTTGGGGTCTTTATATCAGTGATTACTGTGTTGCTTCGGGCCCGAGGGCTCCTAACAAAGTTACATACGTATACAACACCTGGTCAGCTCAATGCTGGTAATGCCGAGAGCAGCTTGGCGCAGATCAACACGAGAGTTTGATCCCGTTTGTCCATAGACTGATGCTTTCTCTGCAGTTGATTCGCTTTGATTACAGCTTCCAGTGCATTGAGTTCCTTGTTCCTCCCTCCCTTGAAGTGCTGTGGGAGAGGCGGTCAGTTCTGCGGTCCGTCACAAGAGGGCGAAGCGTAACTTGGCTTCTTCACATGCCTCCCCCATTTTGTGCCTTGACGACAGGTAGAGGGTACCTAGTCGCCAATTGCTGGGAATACAGCAAAGCATTTCCCAATAGCTCGATTCGAGAAGCTTGCCAATACTCGTAGGCAGCCAGTAGAGCTTTCGCAGGGGTTCACCATGTCTCCAAGGACAGGGTACTCTGATCAAAGTCTTGCTTGGCTGGCGTGACTCTTCCACCGCTTCATGGTCGCGTCCGAATTGACAAGGACTGGCTGCCGGGCCAGTCTCTCTTCTCTTCTACTTCCATCTTTGCAATCTGCTTGCCTGGAATGACAATGAGGCCCACGAATCGCGATGTCATGTCCACTCTGCTGGGCTGTCCCGTAGTCTTCAGCTTGTCAATCGCGACCTTTTCGGTCGCTCTAGTTGGCATTCTGTACTCGAATGAATTGGAAAGGATGATGTTGCTGTCACTGTCGGTGCATCGAAATGTTCCCGAAAATAGACGCCCATCAAGAACAGTGACATTGAAGGTCTTTCCAAGCAAGGATTCGAGGAACTGTGTAGCCTCGGCTTCTTCCATATTGGAGGCAGAGAAGATGTCGATAGGAAGAGGGCCGAAAGCCTCTCTTTCGTAGCGTATTGTTGGATGTATCTTCCTTATGATGAATTGAGGAGAGAGGCGGAGGTTGGGGAATGGAAAAGTTCCGTAGCAACATTATCAGAGGCTCAGCCTTGCCGTTGGTCTTGGCAACGAGGCTGAGAGGCTAAGCCCAAATGTCAATGTTCCTCACTAACCCAAGGCAAGTTTCAAGGAAGCCAACGAACACTTCATTAACAACTCATATCAGGAGAACTGCATTATGTAGCAGAGTACACGCTAGTACATTCTCTAAACACAAGGTGAGGCAGGAGAAGATCACGAATCAGCCGTTTCAGGCCTCGTTTCGTTTCAATGTGACATGCTCGTTATTCTGTTCGTCTTACTTCACTTCCAACTTACACTACCTTTACTACGTATTCGGCCCTCTCTGATATCTATCGGCTCGATATTTGCTGTCTAGTACTTATCCCACGTCTTCCCTTCTTCTTTTAGGCTCGAATTGTGACCAATGACCCCCTAAAGATATCCATCCGCAAATTCGTCACAGGCTTGTCCATTACTGCTGTGAGCATGTCAAAACGAGTCAAACGTGCACCACTAAGACGGGCCAATCGGAGACCTGAAGTTCGAGTTACCAACCGCGCTCCCTCAACGCGGGACAAAAGACGAAACACCTTTCATCCAGCTCCACGGTCAACCATGACCACAAAGTCGAATACTCGATCACGTTCCGAATCAAGCGCGTCTACAAGCGAGTCTATAACCACGCTATCAACGGATTCATCGTTCAATGAATCTTGCTCTCGGGGATCCCGGGACGCTGCGAACAACTCCGATGAAGGTGAAGATGACCGACGTGTGAATGATGACGATTTCCCTAGTTCAGCACGGAGACGAATCAACCCTATCCTAAAACTGAGGTTTGATAATCGGGGAAAGGAGAGCCAACAAAGACCAAGACTTCTGTTTCGGGCCTTCGACACCGAACATGGACTACATGCTCGCTTCTTTCAAGGCTGGCCCTCTTCAAGACCTCTACCGCCACCTCCAACATATGGTAGCGACAAATTCGGAAAGCTAGCTTACCGACATCTTGTCCAAGATAGAGCATTTCCATCGCCCTTCTTGTCACTTACTGAAAATCCTAGACGGGCATTGGAGCTCCACCTCGCTAATACTTCAGGACATCGGTCTTTGGCGATTTTGGACTATAATGTACTCGAAGAAGAGTTAAAGAAGCTATACGGTTCAGATGCTGGACCTTGGCTCGTCCCTGAAGTTACAAAAAGATACAATTTCACGGACCTGGCGAAGGTTGATGATGATCGGCCTCGTACACTCATCGAGGGAGATGGTTACACAGGTAGAGGCGAAGTTTGTGATCCAATCCTGAATCTCAAGGTAACTCAAACTAATGTACTCTAGTTCCTCATCTGGGCCTCTGTACCCTGTGATGCTATTGCTGTACTGTCTTACGATGAAGCCCTCCGGGTCTATCATGTCCTCGATGCACTGGAACAGTCCAAATCAGCTATGGATGAGTCCTCTGGTTCACTGATTGGTAAAGTACGAATCACTTTCAACATTACTTACTGTGTTTAGACTGACCATTACAGTGTCTAAGGGGCATCCCACCCGTGTATAAAGCTGTGGTGGGACGTAAACTTGCTCGTGTGTTTAAGATTCCTGGTTACGAAAAGGATCGTCATTCAATCTATCTTGAGAGATTTATTGAGGCTGTTGAGGCAGGCTCACCAGATAGCGCCTCAACTGAGGGAGAAGACAAGACCGGATTCGACACTGAGAGTGTTCAACCTCAAGAACAAGCCACTCAAGTGCATGATTTCATTAGGGAGCTTGAGATGTATGCGACGATCCCAACACCAACTCCACCTCGTATTTTGAATCAAGAACAACAACCCACAAACACAGAGCCGGCGCCTACAAGTCTACCTCGACAGAGTCCAACGGCATATTGTGATCGACTTCACTTCGGAGGCCTCCCACAGCTGTCATGAATCAAAAACCACACATTCTGAGTCTGCGAAGACGAAGAAACTCCAGACGAGCAGCGTAATGACGGAAACAAGAACAATGATAACCACGACAGTCGACAGACGACAATCCGACTTTCATCACAACAGCATCACCGAAGACGACGATGAAATCCAGATTATTGCAGAAAGGCATGGTAGCCGACGCCAGTGGGTCCGCACCAGAACTGAAACTACAATTATCACAATTCGCAGTCGGAGTGTGAGTGAGGGTATTATTTTCAATTCTTAGGCATCTCTGGCGTTGGAGCTATGCTATGTCGTGCTGGACGAGAGTATTCATGTTGCTGCTAATCAGAACCATCGACGCGACCCTACTGCAACAAAGAGCCCCATATCAACATTGTGCCACATTGTGCTCTTTGAACCAGCTCTTTCATTAACCTAACAGAAAACCTCTCATTTCTTAAGGCAGTGCAGCGGAGGGACGCGAAACGCAAGGACAAGTCTTTAGGGCAAAGGAGGATGGAAATCCTGGAACGGGTTTCTCGGATTGATTGTGTATAGCGCCCGTGCGCAAGTCTGGCGGCATGCTCGGGATGAGAATCAAAGACTTGTTCAGGCAAACCATGTATGTAACCGACACGTAAGCTAGAGTCAATTAGCCATTGTTGTTGACATCAAATGAATTGGCTGTGTTGGAATGTTTGCTGGGGATGAGAATATTCAGCTCTTGCCTGCGCCTGTGCCTGCGCCCGTGCCTGCGCCCGCGCCCTGACTTTCAGCTGTTCGCTTGAGCGCGGTTGATCGCATGCCGAGCCCTCAGCCTCCTAACCATTCTCGGCTTGGCTCCTTTGGCAACAGGAAACTTAGCAAAGACGATGCTTTGCAAGTTCAAAGTGCAGGCACTGCAATAGACCAAGTCAACCTCAAATCCCCTCGTACACGACTTCTACCTCTCGCCTTGTTCGCCAGCAAGCAAGCATCAACCTCAAACCTCCACTTACACAGTGTTTACAGGCCTGCACCGTCGTCAAACGCCCAAAATCCCAAACTGCGCCCTCCTGGGAAACCGGCCCCCTTCCGACCGCTCGCCCACTGACGCGTAGAAAACCTGCAATCCACATCACGGCCGACATATCCCTGCGCTACATGGTGAAAACACTCTCATAATCCTCACCATCAACCGAGGAGGGCGGATGTGAAGATGATTGCGCGACTGGCGTTTTAATCAAGGAGATGTCGCGCCCACAGGGCACTCACTCTCACTCCAAGTTCGCTGATTTCTTCCCAACCGCTCCCAGCGTGCAGCAACGGAAAACTTCCAAGCTGCTTGATCTCGACCGATCCCGACTGCGCCGTCCTGACGATCGCGCAGAAGATGCCAACGCGAAAGAGAATTCTGCTCGACTCTCGCTGAACTCATCATCTACCACGTTTCACCCGCGTTTGCCCGCTAAACAGGACAACTTGGCAAAGACTGCGGCCGTCACGGTGATTCCAGAAGAGGGTGACCAGTACGCAGGCGACCTTCTCAATGGTGTCGGCTCAGCCAGTTCGTCTAGTACCGCTTCATCGGTCTTCAGTGCTCCTGTCGCAAGCGTCGCCATGGCTGGCGCAAGCCATGTCAACTTCACCACCCTTACCCCTCTTACGAACTCCGACTCTCCTCCAAATGGTAAACTCATGAGTCCGACTACTGATTCCGGCTCTCAGCCCATGATAGGCCACAGCAATAATGTGTCCACCCTTCATCAAGGCTCGATGACACCCCTCCACACGCCGCCGACCCATCGAAGATGTGCGCGCGATGCTAATGCCGAAGCCAAGGGGACCAAATGCACCTACGATCCGGAGCTTGACAAGAATCTGAGCTCCAAAGATAAACGCAAGCTGAAAGCGCAGTTCGAGGAATTCGGAGCGAAACCTCAAGATAACTTCCAACCTCCCGATCCGCGGTTAGCCATTCCTAACTACACAAAAGCCGTTGTGGGAAAAGGCAAAGCAAAATTTCGTCCCGCACCTTACAATCTGAAGTCATGGGTGCCTGACGTTGCGACTGCGGTTGCACCGCCGCCGCCAACCACCGTCGTCGTAACTGGCTTCGACCCTATGACACCGTTATCACAAATCAGCGCATTGTTTTCCAGTTTCGGCGAGATCGAAGACTTGGACAACAAGACTGACCCGGTCACTGGGCGGTTCCTCGGCATCTGCAGCATCGCCTACCAAGACTGCGCTTCTTTCCAAGGCGGGGGACCGATTTCTGCAGTCCTCGCCGCCAAAACAGCATACCTTGAGGGCAAGCGCGGACAAAGGATAGGCCTGAAGACCGTGCAGGTGGCTATCGACCGAGATGGGTCGGTCACGGAAAAGTTGGTGGAAAGGGCTATCGCGCTGCATCGGAAAGAGAGTGGATTCACAAACAAGTCCCGCATACAACCCTCTCCGTCTCCCTCAACACCTACTGCAGTGCAGTCGCCTGGGTTTGCAAAGTCCACTGGCCCACCGCCAACGGCTCCAAAGGGACCTTCAGGAAAACCGCCCTCACGGCCGCAGTCAACATTCCAAGCTCCTTTCGGACTCCCCGTGAAGCCCGAGAGACCAGTAAAACCCGTGCCGGCCACTACCTCCCTTGTTGAGACCACGCCGATCGCCGAAACGTTGAAAGGACCGTATATCTTCATTGCGCACTGTTATGTACCAGTTATGAGCACTACGATCCCGCATCTGAAGAAGAGGTTGAGAATGTATGATTGGCGAGAAGTCCGCTGCGACGAGACCGGCTATTTTATCACATTTGAGCATTCGCGCAATGGGCAGGTGGAGGCAAAGAAGGTATTTCACGGTTGTCATATGCAGCCGTTGTTTACGTATGTGATGAACCTGGAATTACATCTCAACGGGCATCACAAGGCGGCCACTGCAGTAGACGCTATACCTACGACAACAGGACCGGTTGATTTTGTTTATTCCAGACAAGCCTATCGGCTAAGGAAGGAGCACGATCTCGACATGGAGGAAGAAAAGAGACAGCGTGCGCGAGACCTGGATCCGTCTAGGGCTGTTGTACAGTTGGTCATACAGGAGCTTCGGGATAAGTTGCTGGAAGATGTCAAATCACGCATCGCTGCTCCTGTCCTCTACGAGTATCTTGATCCGAGTCGACACGCAGAACGACGACGGATCCTAGGCGTGAGTGACCCCGAAGGAATCAGGAGGCAGGGTTATGCCGACGAAGGTTCTCAAACCCCAGATTCGCGCCTGGGCACTGGCCGACGCCCACTTGGGAGTAAGAATCTCAATATTCTCTCTCTGCCGAAGATAGGCAAGAGGCCTGGCGCAGACAGAGGTATGGTTGGTTTCCGCGACGAGAGGAGGAAGGCCCCGACAACGAGACATAATGTCAGACCATTGTTCCACCAACTGGCTCAATTTCATGACGATGACGATTCCGACGACGAACAACGAACTTCGGTTACTCGTGACACGGAAGATCCAGAGAGCCGTCCACCTAGCCGAATGAGTATGACCTCCATGTCCGACGACGATGACGAGCTTCTGCGCAAAGTTGCGAAACGCCGTCTCCACGCCCGTGAAGAATCCGAGATGGGAGATAGCGTGGTCAAAGATGAGTTCGACGCCGGCAAGCAGACTGCAGAAGATCTCATCATCGCCAAACTTGAAAGAAACATCTACGAAATGTCCCCCTCGTCGAGGAAACGGAAGAGGCTGGTGAAAGAGCTGGAGGCCCGTAAACGCCAGAAGGCAGACGACGAACTGTTTGGCGTCGGTCAAAATGAGTTGGATCGCGAAGGATCTGAGGATTTCAAAGCGGAAACCCCGATTGAAGCAACACCTGAGGTCGATTCGGACGCTGCAAAGGTCAAAAAGCCGAAGCCAAAGAAGAAAACCAAGAAACAGATACTGGAAGAGCAAGAAGCGCTCCGACGAGCGCAAGCAGAGGCCGAAGCAGCTGAAGTGGTGGATAATGTTTTGGAATATGCCGAGGAAGAAGAGGCTCTTGCGGAGGCTGCTGAATGGAGGCCAGAAGTGGAATGGGGTGTTTCAGCCGTGGAACCTTTGCCTACGGTCGACGACGACGACGATATCATTCCTGATCTCCGCGGATGGCAAGCAAGTGTATTTGACGAAGAAGATCTTGAATACTTGTCATCCGCTATGAAGTTGAAGAAGGCCATGGACATTGGCGATCCAATGGCTTGGGCCTGGAAACAAGAGCGCATTCGCAATCTCAAGCCTGGAACTCAGCCTGGCGCCCTTAGGACGGAGCCACCGATTGACGGATACTACGTACCCAACCCATCCGGCTCAGCGAGGACGGAACCGGTACGAAGAATCCTCGAGTCTGAGAAGTCCAAATATTTGCCTCACCGCATAAAGGTGCAGAAGGCCCGGGAGAAGAGAGAGGCCGAGGCTAAGAAGGATACTGGCAAGCAAGTTGTGGAACTGCCCAAAGCTTCTTCTCGCGGCAAGCGTGCCGATGATCGACGCACTGTCAAGGACTTGGACAGGCAGCGGGAGATGTTACAGGGCATAGCCGAGGACGCCGATGTTCTGCGGTTCAATCAACTTCAGAAACGCAAGAAGCCTGTCAAATTTGCCAGATCCGCCATCCACAACTGGGGATTGTATTCACTGGAACGGATACAGGCGAGCGAGATGATCATCGAGTATGTGGGCGAGAAGATCCGGCAAGAGATCGCCGACTTGAGAGAGATCAAGTACACGGAGAGTGGCATTGGCAGCAGTTACCTCTTCCGAATCGACGAAGGGACTGTCGTGGATGCCACCAAGAAGGGTGGTATTGCGAGATTTATCAACCACAGCTGTTCACCCAACTGTACTGCCAAGATCATCAGGGTTGGCGGCACCAAACGAATCGTCATTTATGCTCTAAGGGATATTGAGAAAGGTAAATAAATACCGTCTGTGGCATAGACGGGGCGAAGGCTGACATTGTGCGTACAGACGAAGAACTAACGTACGACTATAAATTCGAGCGTGAGATCGGCAGCGACGACCGCATCCCATGTCTCTGTGGCTCGGCGGTCTGCAAAGGTTTCCTTAACTAATACTCCGGCATATCCGATAACAAAGGGGTCTTGAAATGCGTGATGGAATCTGGCGGACACATCCTTCTTTCGATGTTATAAGAGCATTTGAAAATGTGGAAGAGCATTTTGGGCCGGCGTTCTCTTCCATACGGCATGATGAAAGGATGGATATCTGACTAAAAGTCACGGCACAGCATGGGGCAACGGCAAGGCTAGGCTGGGGGGTTTCTTTTTGCATTGACACAACCAGCAAGGTTGGTGTGATATTGTGGAACAGGGTGTGAGGGGGGTTCTCGAGGATCATGGTAATCCTATTTCAACAAAGGCAGGGAAGTGACGAGTGGCAGAGAAGTGGCCGACAAGGAATGAGCTCCGTTTACTCAACTCAAAGTGATGGGGCGTTGCAGAGGGGACGACACTGCAAAAATGAATCGAGTTTGAGAGATTTTCTCTCCCTCTTTTTGTGTATTCTGTATCATCTCGACCGAGTGCTCGACAGGCGCAGCGATTGCACGCCGCGGACAGCGCAGAGGGTCTGGTCACCCCTGATATGCGGCGACGGCGGAGGACGTGTGTCTAGGTACTCCGTACATAAAGATGGTGGCCAATGTGCTCTGTTTACACTGCCGGCGTTTTCAGAGGGTCTCCTTGAATAGTTTCGACAAAACATTGGTGGGTGCTTCATTGAACCTCTTCTCTCCTGGTCGAAATATGGCGGGTCGGTAAAGATAATTTGTTATCCTTTGTGGGGGACTGTCCCAGCATGAGACTCGCAGATGGTCGCTTCGTGCTCACGCATATTCTGTGGGATGACTCGACAGTCGGCTTTCAACTCTCGCCCAGGGGGGCATGCGATATTGTTTGAAGCGGTCTGATAGCTGATGGCTGGTGTGGCTTCCGTACTAGACGTACTCATCCCATGCTCTCGTCCCGCGTCATTTCCTGCATCTGTTCTGTGGCCTTGGCATGAGCCTGAGCCTGCAGAGGGTGGATCGGTGCATCCCTGTGTCGTTTTGCTATTGCCGGAATCGATCCACGCAATGTGCCGTTGTGATACCGGACGGTAGAGGATCCCGAAGCAGGTGGTGTCTTGGAGATGGCGGCCTCCCATCTTTTGTTCAAAACGCACTTCGTCTCTCTCTCTTTCTCGCGTATGTTCCCCCGCTTTCACACCAAATGCGCGGGCAAGAGAAAATTGCCCACGCCTTCCTTGATGGGATATTCAAAGCCGCAGTTTCCACAGACCAGTTTTCCCTCGGACACTGCCGTCTCGAGGAGGAGGGTGTGTAGTTTCTTCAGCACGTCCTCGTCAATTTCTACCTCCTTCTGGGCGGTGTCGATTTCCTTGTCTTGCTCGACATCCATCTCGTGGTCGTCATCTTCTTGTTTTGTTGCTGCGGTTTCGTCGTCGTCGCCAAGGTCCGCAGGGTTTTTCTCGGGCACCATCGCTTGCAGGCCCAGCTCGGTCGCCGTGACGGTCAACGCGTCCCAGTTCACGCGAGGCAGGATGTTCTTGATGAAGAGCGGGTTGAAGTCGATCTCTGTGCGTTCCAGCACGGCGTCCTTGAAGTGCAGCGGGAACGAAGCAGACGAGGACTTGCACGCCTTGACGGCACAGGTCAGGAAGTTTGTGGTGAGGAGCTTCATTTTTTTGCCGGCTTGACGGATGCGCAACATGAGGATGCAGAGGGGAGAGACTGTGCAGAAAGTTGGTCGAGCGGGAAAGTTCTCTCTACGCCAAGCCAGAGGATCGTTGGGATATACAATAGAATTGCAGAAATTTCGGCCTCAGTCGAGGAGCTTACAACCAATGTCTTATTCTAATGTTACAAGATATCGTCAATTGGTCTTTCTCATCTAAAAACTATCTGGCTCCCTGATGGAGAATAGAGAGGAAAAAAAAAAGAAATGTCCGGCACGCAGGTGACTTTACATCCACTACGGGAATCCGAAAACTCCCATTTTCGAACGCAAAGCCTTAAAAGTGCCTCTTTGAAAAAATTCGGTCTAGTACGCCAATATGACCTACCACTCCATTGATGAATGAAGGAATTGGCGGTTGATTATGCGTTCTCATGAAGTGTGAGGAAAGAAAAAGAAGAACGAAGGCACGTAGTAGCGAAGATGTACTTGTAGTCTTTGATATCGGGGTGCGGAGAATCTTTATTGCCGGAACTTGACCATTTCAGGGCTGGCGTGGTATTGGGCCTTGGCATCGACACGGTTCGGTTTTTTCGTCTTCTCTATCAGAGCTTCCGAGCAACCTTTTCTCTCTTCAACAAATGCCGTTGCCATCTCAAGGGGCCTCCTGAACCATATTCACGGTACTTTACAGTCTTTCCCCCTCTCTATTACATGTTGAAGATTCCCCTTTCCTTATTCCTGTCCCCAGCCTTCGTGAACATCTGGTCAAAAGGGCGTGTTGGTGTTCGCACCAGCCACATAACAAGACGCGAGACAATTTATCCGCTTTCTCATCATGTCATGCACATGCGTTGCTCGCCCTGACCCCCTTATCTATCTGGCAGACGCACAAATCGCTATCCAAAAAAAAAGATAAAGCACTGGCCTTTCTCTGGCTGACAATGCAAAAAAACCCACACTCGGAAGCATCTTGACCTCATTCTCCCCCATGATCAAGACGTGGATCCCGGGGAGAGACTCCAAACTCCCCAATTCAATCGCAAAAGTGGAAGACCAAAATCTGGGCTTTTAGCAGGGCCCTGTCTACTCCACCCTGTTTCTTCCAGCACTCGTGAGGAAGCAGGACTATTTTCATGACAGACATTTTCCGCACCACAGTATCCTGTGTTTGTTTTTGATTGGTTGGTTGATTGATTCGATCTATTTCTTATAGGTGTTTTTGGGAAGCGAAGAGCGCGGGTTTTCTCGTCTGGGACGCGATACGAATGACCCTGGCATCTGCGAGATTCTCATGGTTCAGTTCAAACAGTGCAAGGCATTGATGTCGTTCGATGTTTTACAAGTCAATGCTCTCGAGGCTGTTGAAGGATATCACTGTTTTTCACATGCCCTCGATATCAATCCTGACGGGAGTAACGCACATGCACATGACATGCACTTGGTGCAATCCCAAGCCTTTTCTCTCCCTACAGATATTGGCGTCTTTTCACCGCCTCTCCAATACACATGTCAATTCAATTCGTTCCAATCAATCCATGTGTCTTCTATTTGACAGCTCCTCATTTCATCCTTACTTGTCTCTCTCGTGTGGCCTACTACACACAACTCTCAGGTCTCTTGTTCTGGCCATCCTCTCCAGAGTCTTGTCGTTTGACCGTGATCCAATCATTCTATCCTTCATTCTATTCTCACATCTACCTACCCCAGGTATCTAGCTTTTACTTTTCTCCTACCATGACCCTCAACTCACCTCGTTTCACCTCACCTCACCTCACCTCACCTCGCTCCAGCTCAACTCAACTCAACTCACTTTACCTCACCTCACCTTACACACACTCCCTCTTATTCCACCTCATCCTTGTCCTTTATAACCCTCTCGCCTCTCCCCCAAAAGCCTGCCAATGCTTGACCCATGTGCGCTCTGTTGCCCTCTTTCATTACTTTCCACGTCCGTATCCACATCTACATCCGAGTCTGAATCCTAGCCCCTGGTCCTATTGGTTGTGAATGTGGTTCTGGGAGTGGTTCAGGTTCATTGCCTCGTTCCCTGTCCCGCACTGGCCTGCCGTGGTCTGCCTGACCATCTACCTACCTACCTATCCCTGCCTGCCTTTGCTGTGCTTGCAGCTGCTGCTACTACCGCTGCTACAGCAACATCTCTTCGAGACGCCGGGTTCTCTTCTATTCTGTTTTATCCGCCTTCGGAAAGTTCAATTCTCTTGCCATCCCATGGTCCTCGCTGCGCAGCCCTGTTCTACTCTGCTCTCCTCGTCTGCAGTACTCGTCTACTTTGTTCTATTTCATTGCTCGGTTCTCGATTCTTTGGTACCTTACCCTCCCCCTCCACCATACATACCTACCAATCTACCTACCGGTCTGCCTGCCTGGCAGCCTGCTTACGTGCCTCACTGCCGTTCGGTCATGGTCTGCTATAGTACTATATCGCTATATGACTATAGTAAATCCTGACCCTGATCCTGACCCTGACGATGCCGACACTACAAGACTGGTCCCGGTATAACCAATACCTCCGAGAACATCATCTCTATCAGGACGAGAATGGCGAAGATCTGTATTGCTGCATCAACGAGCCGCTGCCTGGTCCATCTGGTCCATCTGGCCTATCGAACCCATCCAATCTCTCTATCCTACGGAATGCATCTGAAGGGCCGCCAACGCCCTTGGAAGGCCCTCTGCAGACATACAAAACCATGACGAGCTCAAAACCTCGACACCCATTTAGAATGGTAATCTACAAGGCCGTCGCGGTCAGGGACGCCTGGCTGTGGAAACTCTCTTGTCGGCGCGTGAACATGGGCGCCGTGTCGGCGTGCACGCAGGCGATCGTGCCACGGTACCTTTTTCGATTCTGGCACGATGAAAGCGGCGGAGGAAATGTCACAGGCCAGTTCAAAAGCGAGCGCGAAAAACAGGACATGTGCGCGGACCTCGAGGTCATGACTGAGAGAGACATCCGCGACAGCCTCGCTGACCACATGCGCAACAGAAAAGCGTCGCCGTTCCAGAGTCCCTGGGTGTCCCTGTCGATGTCGCCCGTCTGGGTGTTCGCCCAGGCCCTCGCGCTCAAGAGGAGAGGGTGCAGGAACCTCAAACTCGCCATAGTGGACACATGGAGTCTGGCGCATGGTACGTACCTCTTCCACGCTGAGGCGTTGCTCAAAGCCTATAATGTCGCCCCGAGTCTCCCTTTCCGCAATATGGGCGAGTCGATGGTGTTGGCGTGGAGAGCGATCCGTGCGCCGATGACGGTCATGCGCCTCGATGAAATCTTGCACAGCGTGTTCGAGGGTGAGTACCTCAAACCGGGGTACCTAAAGCTGCAGCCGTTCCATTATAACACATCGAAATCCGACATAGCCAAGAATCACAACGTGACGAAGGAGCGGGCAGTCAATAACAACAACAAGAAGATCGCCAAAAAGAAGCAGGGACAAAAGCTCAACCTCCGCAAGCCAAACGAGATTCGAAGGAGGATCCATCCGACCCGGTCCACATACGAAGCGTTCCAGGAGATCATGCTGGAACCGCAAGCTCCCTGGAAGTTCCCGCGGGGTCGCCGCGCCGGCCGCATGTCCCAAGGCAAACAGCCCGGCCGCAAAACTGGGTATTCCAGGGTGCCAATGGCGGCACATCAGCTCAACGACTACGTGGACTTTGTAAAGAGGGAAGTTAAGGCGGTAGAGTTCCAATTTCCCTTGTTGATCGCTCTGCTCTCGAATCGCATGGCGGAGCTGGAACGCGACTCTATCCTCGACGCAATCCGTGACTGGGGTGGTAAGTTGGGCATTGTTCTGTCTTGAAAGTCAAAAGTATGGTCTCCCACTAACAGTAAACCAGGCGATGATCCAATGATTAATGCCCACAAACGGTGCATTGTTCGGGACAGTTCTTCGCCCTCTCTTCCTGAGCTGGACGCCTTCGAAAAACTGGCTCGAGACGCCAGTGACACGCTGGGGATCTGGGTGGTCGAGAACCCAGGCCTGCGGAGGTTCTGGGTTTTGCAGTCTCCACACACAGAGGTTCCTCAACCTCACGAAAACAGTGAGTGGATTAGGGACGTAGTCGAAGGGAGGGAAAGGATGCAGATGAGGCTGAAAAGGGAACAAGACCAAGCCCAGGCAAAAGCCATGACAGCACCGATACTAGGTTGTGCAGAGAACCAGAGTCGCAAATAAGACGCAAGACCCCGGTGTCTAGGTCGACTGTTGCGGATTTCAGGGAGCACATCAGTGGCTTCCACGCAGACTCGCGCTGCAGCTGAAATTGCCACCGGGTACCAGCCCTTATCTTGGTAACCTGAAAGGCCAACCTGTCCAATGCGATGCACCTACGTTGGGCTGGCAGCGCTTCTCTCGCAATCTCGTTGATCATTCTTGCAGGGGATCACCATAGTGGTGCTGCCGAAATGCCACAGCTGTCAAAGACAATGTCGGCCAGGGGTGTATTGACTTCATCACGGGGCTGGAGTGCATGTACCAGCAAGACATGGCACTAGGAAGAGCAAAGGCCTGGGAGTGCATGATCCCTGTCGTGAAATCTCGAAAAACCCATGCCTCCGAAGTTGACATCTGGGGACTTTCTTCAAGTCTAGGTATGCGCAGAGCCTTCTTGACATGTTTGTGGAGGGAACCGAGGAACTGCGCGTTGTCAGGAGTGCTGGTCATGATTGGACGCATTGATGCCCTTTGCTGCATGTGTTGTAAAATGTGACATATGACACAGCTAGGCTTTGCTGTGGACCAATCGGTGGTGGTGGTGGTGCTGTTCAATTTTGGTGGGAGTGACATGCCTTCGGGGCGCTTTTTGAGGCTTCCGTAGCTGAGAGAAGCTAGGGAGACGGGATAATATCTAGGCTTGACCTATCATATCAGTTCTTCAGTGCTGAGGAACCACTGAATCTCTTTCTCTGCGTCAATCTTGGCGTCCAGCATGGGTGTCCTGAATGGGTGTCCTCCGTCTCGCCCTCACTCGTACCCACCTTAGCCTTAACCACACCCTCATCAGACGCTAGATGATCGTACTTATGCTTCTCGTATGGTTGGTACCTAGTTGTCGTAGTCGTATGTGTCAAGTATTGTGTATTGTGTCTTGCGTACCCTTGTCTCCTCTTCTCACCTCTCGTTACTTTTTCCCCTTTTTCTCTCTCTTCCCTCTCTCTATGTTTCTCTTCACGAAGTACTCACTCTGTGTCTCTGTCTCGAATCACTCTTGGGTCGTGACTCATGACCCGTGCCCCGTGCATCTTACCTCGTATCGCGACACTGTCGCTGTCCTCGTAAGAACCTGACCGACTGACCAACCGACCGACCGACTGATGTCCTGCGCAAGCGATTACTCCGTAAGCGGTGTAAGCGACGCAAGGGTCGTCTGGCTGGCTTGCTGGCTAGCTGGCTTTCGTGGTACCTACCTATACAGGACCTTGAAGAGGATCAAATGGTACGGGCCGGGGTTTGGGATCAGGGGGAGCTGTAGGTCGATGCTGCAAGGAACCTGCAGTGCCTGACACGAGGTAGGTAGATACCAGGTAGAGAAGACGTTTGCATGCAGTAGTGGCACCGTGGCGTTGAAGTGCAGGGGTACGGCAGGGTACGGGCGGAAGCGGGGCGCATCAGCCGACACCAAAATCCACAAGTCCAGAGGTCATGTAATGTGCAACAAGTGTGTAGCAGCATGCAAGGAGGAAGTAGAAGTATGTAAAGTACCTCGTATAGTGTTCCCAGTTGGCCATTAGGCTGAACTAATCCATCCACTGGGACCTCTTTGTACGAGTTCTTAGTACGATTTGGCTTGGACCCGCGACTCGCGACTCCAGATTAGGAATCGATTGCGCACGGAGACTAAACCTTTCAACAACAGGTGTTACATACCATTTTCCACTCTACAGTACTCACTTACTACCTACGCAAAGGTGTGTGTGTGACTGGACAAGTTTCTAGGAGATAGGCAACCACACCACACCAAACCTAACAACCCACCCACCCCCCCTATCTTTCTTGTGTCGGCACGGCACCACGGTCCTTTGCTCGCGTGCATGCAGGATTTTCACCGTCTACATACATTAGCGGGGAACAGGATATTACAGAGTAGTTTCTCGTGCAGAGTAGTTCCACTCTAGCCCTCTTTATTCGCTTTTCTGCTTGTCAGGTTGTCCAACCTACGCCCACACTCCCAGCCTAACGAGCCTCACGAGCCTATCATGGAAACGAAATACCGAGAAACCCCTTGGCTTTCTTCAGCCGAGACTTTCTGTGTACCGAGTACTTCAGATGAATGACCGTGGACAACTTGTCCCAACTCCTCAAATTCTGTCCACCTGCAATCATTGGAGGCACCCGGCTTCAACCAAAAGATGCGGTAGCAAGAATCGTCAAAAAATTAGCCTTTTGGTCAACGTCAAACGTCCCAACTCTCGCCCGTCACCTTCACAACAAGGTTTGACGGCTTCTGCACAATCCATGCAGCTCGCCCAAAACCCCCGGAGTTTCAATTTCGGAAAAGGTCCCAAAGACTCGGTAGCGAATGACAATCCCCGGCCCCCCGAAGACGGAAGACACCATCCCCGGCCATTTGCACTGCTAAGCGTTCGTAGGATTCTCTTTCGCGCATGGCGTAATGCAGTGCCACACTCCCTGTTTACCTGTCCTTCCGAGATCAGAAGAAACCCCAAGCAAGTTTAACCCCAATGCCGGAACGAGATTGGTGTTTGGTGACACCACAGCCGCAATTTTCTACATCCCGGGGTTGATTATGCAAGGGATCGACACTTCGCGCAGACATCCCATGGCCAATTCCACCACTCCATCGCAAGCAAGAGACAGCGCCTTGTTTCTCGCCCAAGTTGCACCAACAGGAACTCGGCCGTTGCTTTCGGTCGACATTTTACCCTGGTCCAGGATCCCCCGAGCCGGTGGTATCTCACCTTGCACACTTGCAGCATGCGGCGCCTCCCACGGCTGTAACTAAGGCGGGGGAGAAAAACGAGGCGACTTAACCCTTTGTACTTGGAGTCGTCCTACCGTGGGACCTGCTTCCCGTTGGACGTCATTAGCTCGTTGTCGAATCGCGGCCCTCATTTCTGCCTTCGGGATTCTGTGTCTTAGTATTGCAAGTACCAGGGGAGTCCAGGTTCGGACACTCTGCGTTGGGTAGCACAATGCCCACAGGACTTCAAAGGTGCATGGGCACCTTCTCTCTGTTAATCCTGATCAACCAATTCTGTCCTCTTGTAAGGAATAAATATCGTTCTCCCTCCGTAGCCTTGGGTTCTGTTTCTCCAAACTCAAACATTTTTTGACCTAACTTTTTCGGACTTCTGTTATTGCGCAGCACTTGTGAGCATTGCCATCTTCAAGATTGTCGTTCATCATGACAACCACGTCGGTACCAAGCAACAGTGAGTGTTCCTTTCTCAGAGTCTTGCCACCGTCAGAGCCCTGCTTTATACTGGGAGCTTGGCCATGTTCTTGTCCATTGACGATGACTCTGATAACCATTCGCTTCAACAGACAAAGCCTCGGGCATCAGCTATCAGATGCAGCAATACCTCGCCCTAGGGTGCTGGGAACACCCATATCGACCAGGAGCGGGAACTCACCGTAAGCTCGGGCATCTTATCAGCACTATCGACAGGTATCTTGCCCAGTTTGCCAGTGATCCTGCGACTATCGCCACGAGCAGCAGAGACTTTGGGCCGTTGGTGGCCGGCTCTCATAAGTCAGTCCACCATGTGTCGTGAGCTCCGGCACACATTTGCCATTACTGACGTGGAAAAGTCGTCCGTACGGTCATGACTGGCTCCCAGAGATGTAATTGCAGCATTCGGTTCGCTGTTTGACCACCTCAATACACCTACCGGGAAAAGAAGAGTTTCGGACAGGCTTGTCGCGGATCCTCCGCGAAACAGGTCGATTGTTTGTGGTAGAGGTGCTTGCATCGCAAGAATTCGGCTGCTTGAGAAAAAGTTCGGAATACCTGGCACCATGCGCCATTGGAAAGTTGCTCGGTATGGAGAAGGGTTGATGTCCTGGTGTTCCGTCTCTTGTGATAGGATAGATTGCCATGCCATGGAGTGCGTGGCTTGTCGTAGCAATTCTCCCCATATAAGCTGGCTGGCAATGTCCTAAAGCACAGTGTTGAAGCATCCTCACTCAATCGTTAACAACTGGCGTGGTACAAAGGCATTCCTGTGCAAGTTGAAGTCTCTTGTTAACACTTCTGGCGATTTTTTTTGTCCGTGCTAAGGCCACAAATGATCAGTTGTCTCGAAGCATCGCCAGACTATTCACCTTGCTCATGGTCGGCCAGTCATTCCACAGTGTCAGAGCAAATCATTCCGAGAAACGTGCCTGACACTCCTGGACGCAACTTCGTCCGCACAGCTCTGACACGCGAAGTGTTGAGAAATCGACCAGAGGAGCGAGAGTGCCAGAGCAAAGGAACAGATACCTACATCCTTTTACAGATTTCCGCGCTATTGACTCAGTTTCGTGTCCTTCGCGCTTGATTCCAGACTGCCCTACGCTTTGAGGTCATGATTGACTTGTCATCCAGCCCTTGTGCTTTGCATTTCTCTATCCAGTAAATTGACAGTAAGGAACGACGGGAGACGCCAAGTCCCAACAGAGAAGCCCGACACTTTGAACAAAGTACAAGTACTCCTATAGCCGAGGCACGGGTCCCTCGAAGCGTGTTAAGCACGGAACGTGAGGCTCATCAATTCTGACAAAACCCCTGGGTGTGCATGCCAAAGATGGTAACATGGGTCGATTGAGATCTAGGCGACAAGTGGTGTGATTAGTTAGCGATGTCGGCAACTGAAACGGCACTCTAGGAAAACCGGGTCGCTCCAAGCGAAAATCAAAAACTCCACGAAGAAGAGACCCGGGGCAATGGAAGTGGCAAATCGTGGTGAGATTACTGTGCCAGAAATGGCGTTCGATACGGGAGCGTTAGTAGAATTAGTATAATCGTAGCCGACGGTATGGTAGTGAGATCAAGTCAGCCTGAGGTTCGAAGATGGATCGGGTAGTTGAGAGAAGGTTTAGGAGTAGAAAGGAAGTCGGCCAGCGAAGTCTTCTAGAACACGGCGACAGAATTTGGGGACTTAGTAAGATGGGAGGAAGAATCCCGTGTGGGCGGAAGACGACGGAAAGCGTAGAAGCGTGGCGCTGAGAGA